GGGAGATGTAGGGATAAGTCCCGCCCCTTAGGGGGTGTGTTCGCCTCGGGCTAATGTTCACCTATCAATCTGGCGAGCGTGCTCCCAGCAGTCGCTTCTGCTTTCCTGGTCTCCGCAGGAACGGTGGTTCTGTAAGTCTATTTCCCCATTAAAGCTGTATATATTTTTACAATCTATCTGCATTCATTTAAGCCGTTACAGTGTGGGGTAATCTTATTGTGTGAAGTCCAAATTCTCACCATTTCCCTAACAAATGGTGAGTGTAAGCCATACTATCGCCTACTTAATTTCCTTTAGATCGTTCATATGTGCAGTTTGCCATTTATGTTCTTTGACTACCTTAGGGTACTTTATACCAGATGGCTCCTCAGAGGAGACTACCAGATAGACAGCTAAGACTCTGGCATGCACTGACGGGGCTAAATCCTCTTCTTGTACCTTCTCCCCTGCTCACCAGTCCCGATCATTTCCTCACTCATGTCAAATCTTTTTACCTCTGCCTTTTGTGAAATTTAAATCTCATGTCCAGCATACAGTTATAGTGCCTTCATTCATTCATTCATTCATTCATTCAGTTTTTGGTCCTTACTCTGCACATATGATTCCTGGGTATGAAATTTTTCCAGTCAAGATAATATCTCATCCTTGGACATTATTTGGATGGTGTGTATATTGCCTTCCTGGAGAGATACCATATCTGTTAACCCATCATAACTTTACAATAGATTCCGATTGTTAAATTCAACAATACAAATTTTATCATATAATTTCTCAGCACCCTTTGACCTGGAGAGAATTTTGTCTGTTAAATTAATGTTATCCTTTTCAATGGTATTAATTTTTTCAGCTAACAGTTCATTATTAGTCTATAAAGACTATATCATTTCTACAAGTGCCTCATTCTTGGCTCTGCTATCAAAATATTTCTTTAGGATATAATTTGAAGAATAAATTAATTCCCCAAATCAAATAAATGGATGTATAAGGAAAATCACATAAGCCTTGCAGAAGACCATCCATATTGTAAGCAAAATGGTTATTAAATTCTTGGATGTGTATTCAGAGCTCAGGGTAAGGCTAGCCCACCCATATCCAGGCTAAATGCCGTGTATCCAGAGCTCAGGGTAAGGCTAGCCCACCCATATCCAGGCTAAATGCCATGTATTCAGAGCTCAGGGTAAGGCTAGCCCACCCATATCCAGACTAAATGCCGTGGATTCAGAGCTTAGGGTAAGGCTAGCCCACCTATATCCAGGCTAAATGCCGTGTATCCAGAGCTCAGGATAAGGCTAGCCCACCCATATGCTGGTCAAATGCTGTGTATTCAGAGCTCAGGGTAAGGCTGGCCCACCCATATGCAGGCCAAATGCTGTGTATTCAGAGTTCAAGGTAAGGCTAGCTGCTACAAGCCACATCATTAAACAGCAATTGCTCAGCCATCTTTTCATGAGTGACGACGTAGCCGAGCCAAGGGATCTGGTAAAGGCTAAACCAAAAGGCAAGGCTTTTTGGCATTACTGCTTTGTCAATAAAGTGACCTCCCTTTGCTGTAGAATTTTCGCTGTAGCTGACTTCCCTTCTGCTATGTATTTCGGAATTAATTCCCACAGTTCAGATCTGTTTCCCACTGCCAGGCCTGTTCCTCTCTTCTAGGTGAACACAGAGATTTGCCTTTCTGCAACAATCTTTATCAGCAGCATTTGGTCAGTGCTTAGGGTCCAGGCATAGAACATTACCCGCCCAAGCGGCTGCTCTGGTTTTACCTCACTCAAAAGATTCCTAACTCCTTGCGTTCTCGTGCACTCCAGTTTACTGAGAGTTTTAGTTCAGGACTCTCAAGGACAGCAGAAGGGATATTAACTGCGACCCAGAGAAAGACTCACAACACCCACGATCAGAACGGCTGATAACAGCATAGCCTGGAACTGAAAACTGAGAGGCCTGGGTCCCTTCTTAGAGCAGCAAGTCTAACTGCATTCCTAGATCCGCAGAAACTGCAGCGTCCAGTGTCTGTGCTATCTGAGCAGGAGCCATGGCTTCTCCCTGACTGTTTACGTAGGTTGCCTAGATACCTGGTAGTCTCTATGCATACTGGGAGAAAAGAAGCAGCATGCTGATTTAAGATGCAATTTGTGTCCTATTCATAATTTTGCTGCGAATAAATCTTTTAACCTTTTATCTATTACCGAAAAATGTGGAATTCCCTGATGAGTTAATAATAGAATCCCCTGATGATTTAATTCCTTTCTTAGCATCTCTCTCTCTCTCTCTCTCTCTCTCTCTCTCTCTCTCTCTCTCTGTGTGTGTGTGTGTGTATGTGTGTGTGAACATCCTTATCTGGTTTTCTATGTAGCAGAAGATTTTTGGCCCTGGAACCTGCTAGGCTGGAAACTGAAGGACTTAAGGGTATATGTGACCGGGAACATTTGTAACGGGGACTAAGAACAATGCAGGACAAGAATAAGGGTAAGGCTAGCCCACCCATATCCAGGCTAAACTTACATGAGATTTAAATGAAATTCAATTGGGTGGGTGCTCTATTTTTATTTACTACATCTGGCAACTTTGCATGGTACCTACTGCCTTCAATCATGACAGTCATTTAAGAATCTTTTCCCTAAGCAAGGTTGGTGTGGCATCCCTTTAATCCTAGCACTCAGGGTTAGGAGGATATCTGAGTGCCAGACCAGCATGGTCCACACAATCAATTCTGGGCCAGCCAGGACTGCACAGTGAGACCTCATCTCCACCAAAGAAACAAACACACGACAGTGGTGGCCCACTCACTCCTTATCCCAGCACTCAGGAGGCAGAGGCAGGTGGATCTCTGAGTTTGAGGACAGCCTGCTCTACAGAGTGAGGTCCAAGACCACCAGGCCTACAAAGAAACCCTGCCTCCAAACAAACAAACAAACAAAACAAACAAGCAAGCAAATAAACGGGCCTACAAAGAAACCCTGCCTCAAAACAAACAAACAAACAAGCAAGCAAGCAAGCAAGCAAGCAAATAAACAGGCCTACAAAGAAACCCTGTCCACAAACAAACAAACACACAAGAAAAAAACCGTCATACACCAGAGGATAAACAACCCTTTTCTTATATAGCAGCCAGTTGGGCCCACACAGATGACTTGTCTCCCTCTAGTGGCGAATGCCGTCAATGCATGGACTTTCCATGACCACGTATTTACACTCGCTGCCAAAAGTCAGCATTGAAGTCTCCCACAGTAGCCGTGAAAAGATGGGGAGAAGAAACGGATCTTTATTTCCGGGCCCACCTTGGAAGAAGACGTCCTGTGCAATGCTATGGACGCTCTTTCCAGGAAGCACGCTACACAAAACTGCAGCTGACTTCGACATGCGAACGTGGAGCAGTTCTTGGGAAGATGGCGCAGAGGATGCTGGACCTGCATACCAAAACCAGCGCTGTCTCTGTGTACGTCAATCCTCGAATACGAACAAGCACGATGAGACTGGGGATGGCGTACAGTAACAACAACAACGTCTTCACTTTCTGTCAGGAGCACACAATTGCTCTCTCCCCTCTTCTTCCATGATGGAGCCAGAAAACTTAGGGTGTGTGTGTGTGTGTGTTCACGGTAAGTAACGTCTAACTGCTAGCAGCCACGGGGCAGTGTTTTCAGTTCCCCTCCTCTTCCCAATTTGCCCCTCCCCACCAAAGCCAGGGTATCAACCCTGCCAAAGTCCTTCTTCATTTCCATCATTATCTCCTTGCAGAATTTCCTTCGCAGACGCAGGCTGAGGGGGCGGGGCGGGGACTTGTAGGGCTCTCGCAGATGGAGAAGATACTGTTCTCCTGTTAATATAACCAGTCCATCACCCCCACACACATGTATTTATGCTGCCCTCAGGACTGGTAACTGTGTGATCATCCTAAGCCCGGGAAAAGCTGTAAGAAAAGCGGAAAGTGGTCTGGGAGCCGGCTCACTGGGCGAGGGCTTGGTCGGCATGAGCACTGGGCGCACACCACGAACACCTAACAGAAAAGCCAGGCTTTGCTGTTTACCTCAACCCTAGCACTGGGGCAGACAGGCGGATCTCCAGAGCTCACTGCTCAACCACCCCAGGCGGAATCCTGAGCTTCCTCTCCACTCCACAGGGAGATCCTATCTCAAGTCACACTCAGACCTCCACACTTGTGACACCTGCGTGTTCACACTCATGCACAAGTGTGTACTCACCTGCAGCACAGACACAGAGGAGAGGGGAGGGCTGGGATATCTCTGTGTAGTCCTGGCTGTCCTGGGACTCACTCTGTAGACCAGGCTGGCCTGGAATTCAAGAGATCCACCTGCCTCTCGAGTGCTTGTGCACCACCACTGCCCAGCGTGAGTTTTGGATGTAATGAATTGAAACATTCCCTACTGGAGAGATGAGAGAAGCTTCCAAAATTTAGGAAGCGAAGAACTCTTCCAAGGCTCAGGAAGTCATGGGATCAGAGAGCCCTTGCTGAGGGGATGAAAGCAGGGAACTGTCGCTCAGGAAGAGGGGACCCCCAGCAGAGCTGCCTGCGAGTCCGACAGGGGGCGCTGAGATACAGCTTTCCAGTCCTCACCTGAGCTGCAGGGCACTGGTTCTCCACCTTCCTAACGCTGGGACCCCTTAATACAGTTCCTCATGTGTGGTGACCCCAACCGTAACATTATTTCACTGCAGTTTCATAACTATAATTTTGCTGTTATGAATCATAGTTAAACATCTGATACCCAGGGTAACCCATATTAGACCCCTATGAAAGCGCTGACTGAAAAGGGGTGGGGTTGCGAGCAACAGGCTGAGAACCGCGGACTTGGGTGGCACCCTCTCTTTGCTCTGTTGTTGGTGCCTGATCTTGGGCGGTGACGTTTCTTCATGTTCACCTAGGAAGAGTCAGGCCACAGCCAGTGATCTGAGCACTTGGGAGCTGAGGCAGGAGCACTGTCAATCAAAGCCTGGAGGCAATAGGGTCTGTCACTATCATTAAGTAACAGGACATTTAGGAATAAAGATGATAAATTTATTATTTCCTCCACTGTGAGGAAGGAAACTGACAAACACGAGTTGTGTTCACCCTCCAAGCAGAAGGGATCTCAGGATATGTGAGACGGAGGGACAGGTGACACCGACACTGGCAAAGGTGAGCAGTCTGGATCCGGGAAGCCAGAGGGCAACAGTGCTACACAGCTCACCTCGTGACGCCACGTGCAGGGCTGCTGCCCACCGGACACCGTCCGCAGTGTCCTGCTGCTGGGAATGTCTTTGGAGGGCTCTGTCTCAGCACCCCTGGCACACAGAAGCCAACTTCAAAGTAGCACCTGCCAAAACTCCGAGTGTTGGCTCCAGTGTTTGTTCTGTGAAACCATGGCAGTGGCAGACACTCAGGCAGATAAACAAAAGGACAAGACGTCTGTGCCGAGTACCCACACTATGATGGGGTTGGGTCACAGTGGGGAACTTGGTCCCTGCGTGAAGCTTTTGCACGAGAGGGGAGACAGACACCGAAGGAACCAAGCAGGCCAGGTACACGAGGCTACACTGGGGGTGGGAGGCTTCGGTAACACATGCCCCCAGGGCCCAGGAGAAATACAAGGTTGTCTGAAGTATCATAGCCTGCTGGGCTCTGTACTTTATACACATGTACGTACATGTATCTACCCCTGTCTGTAAATACTCATACATTCGTAGGCTCTGGGAAAGGAACACAACAGGGACCGTTAGATGACCTGCCTACAATAGACACTCATGAGCAGCAATGTAAAGTTAGTTACAGGCACCTGCAGACGGCGGTACACAATCAACTCTTCCTTCGCCTTAGTATTTGACACTGTTTCTTTAGCTACACGGATTCTGAGACAGGGTCCCTGAATACTGCTGGACGGGAGAGGTCGGCCTGGTTTACAGAGGAACAAAGAAAAGCTACATACAGACGCCGGCATGGGCTGTCAATGGTGCTCCAGCTTACTCCTTCCGGAATGATTTCACTTCCGTCTGCTGCCGGCATCTTCTGCTCCTACAAGCGCTAGACTGCCTATCCACTATTTAACGCCAACTCCTCGGCTTGGAGAGTTACCCTCTGAGTTCTAGTCAGACGCCACTGCTGTGGCAAGTCAGGGGTTAGGAAGTGCCAGTGCAGACAATAGCACCTTTGAGACACCTTAGGGGCTACGGCAGTAGTAAAAAGCCGAATGTTCTGGATTTCTTCTAGAAAATGAACAGTGGGAGAACACCAGATGGCATACGCAGCAACGGGCCACCGCTGTGGCACAAGACAGCACCCCGGGACTTCAGCCGGCAGCAGAAATGGGCGGCCACCTTCAGTGAGGCCTGTCTCCTCACAGACGAAGGTCCATCACTCCAGACCCTGCCCCTCCACATCAGCGGCGGAGAGCTGCCGCATCTGCACGCCTGGGCTCTGAAGATGCTCCTCCTTTCCCAAGGAGCAGCCGCCCTCTCTCAAGTCCCAGGAGGACAAAGGTGTGTTCCTTGGCCTTCCCACATGGAACTCTGAAAGAGCCCACTGCGGGCAGACTCAGTCCTATGGCCTGAGCCCTTGGCTGCTCTCACTCCCGGTACCTTCCTCTTCGTTAGAGTAGTTCCCCGAGTCCTGGCTGGTCTGGAAACTGTACTTTCTGTGATCTTCCTCAGGCGCATGGTTTTCTTCTGCTACAGTAACCAGGTTTGCGCTCTCGATGATGAAGCACCTCTCGGTGTGCTCCTCAGGAGTCAAAAGCAGAAGGATTTTCGAAGGCGGCTCAGAGAAAAGCTAAGGATGAAGAAGGAAGGGAACACAGGTTGTTTAAAACAAAGACTGATGTTCTAGCTCTAATGTCTTTGCTTTCCTATGCCCGACGTTAGCAGACCTACCTTTTGGCATGTGCATTCCAACAGATTAGCTAAACCCAGTCATGCGTGTACGGCATATTTTGGGCAAGTCTGAGAACGCTTGGACAGACACTGTCTGTCAAAGGCTGGGGCAGGGGCGGGCACTGGATTTTGAGGGAGCAGCATCCAGCTCGCTGGTACTCGAAAGCACAAGGGAGACGTGAACATCTTCCTGGTGGTCTGGCTGGTAAGGAGCCACTGGCAGAGCACCAAGGGGGATTGAAAAGGCCAACATGCAGGAGGCTGGGTGCCAAGCTCTGAGGGCATCGTTACAACTCAGGCACCGGGGAATCCTGGTACAGACTTGCAAGGGTCCCTGGAGCTCTTTATCCAAAGCCTGACCTCTCAAGGCCAGCTTGCCCTGCCTTGAGCGAATGGCTCATCCTCTGGGTCCCAGGGTGTAGGACGAACCCTTCCTCACTCAGTGCTGTGACTGCAGGTGCTAACCTCACAGGAGTCCTGAGCCACTCAGTGGTTTCAGGTTTACCCTGACCTCACCCAGGGGACCAGGTGAAGACAGATGGATAACAGGGTAACAGTGTTTCTCATACGATGTGGAAAACCACACAGAGAGGAAGTGGAAAGACAAACCCAGGGACAAGTCATTATTCCGACTGTAACATACGTTTCTCTAGCAAACGGTCAGATGCCACTGACCGCTGACTATGGGAATAAGGTAGCCTTGCACATGCTCGCGCATCTCCAGTGTCCATCCCCTGGCATGAGGTGGCTGTGCTGGGAACAGGAAGTCAGAAATCTCACTCCTGGAGAGAACGTCCTGTGCCGACTCCAGGAAGACTGCGAGGGTATCAGGGCTTCTCTGGTGATTTCCTGGGGATGCTGTTAGTGCCAACCTGATGGTTCTGTTATTATCCGCTGTCCACTTTCACTTTTGTTGCTACACACTTACATGTACTCATTTGGAACCAGAATGCAGCAAGTACTCAGTAAGCCATTGTTTCTAAACATTTTCCTTTCCTTCCTTCCTCCCTCCCTTCCTTCTTTCCTTTCCTTTTCCTTCCTCCCTTCCTTCCTCCCTTCCTTTCCCCTTCCTCCCTCCCTTCTTTCCTCCCTTCCTTTCCTTTCCCCTTCCTCCCTCCCTTCCTTCTTTCCTTTCCTTTCCTTTCCCCTTCCTCCCTCCCTCCCTTCCTTCTTTCCTTTCCTTTCCCTTCCCCTCCCCTCCCCTCCCCTCCTCTTCCCTTCCTTCCGACAGGGTTTCACTGTATGGCCCTGCCTGACCCTGAATTCAGAGATCCACCTGCCTCCTAAGAGCTGAGGTGAAAGCTGACGACAGCTTGCTTTGTGCTGGGGTCTCTCTGTAGCTCTAGCTGGCCTGGAGCTTTGAAAACCTCCTGTCTTGTATTTGCAGATAGAATCGGACTACTCAGCTCACGCTGGCCTCAAACTCATTGCAATCCTCCTGTCTTAGCTTCCTGAGTTTTACAGGCATGCACTATCATACCAGGCTTCCAACATCACCAGAATTCTGAAGAAAAAAAAAGCACATCAGCCCAGAATACTTTCTGGACAGATTATCTGCTGAATCCAATGCTTGCTTCCTAATTCCTGGCTGGTGACGAGAAGAGACACTTACCTCATGGATACTTGGGGGAGGCTTGGGTGATGAAAAGACACGGCTGAGGTCTTTCAGGATGCTCTTCCCAGCATAAAAGACCAGGGCACAAAAAAACAGAATGCCAAGTCCAGTCACGGCCCAGATTACAGGAGAATTCCCTGAAACACACGAGGACGTGCGTGTAAGCACATAAGACAGTCAGAGGAGAGGAACGAGTGCCCTGAGAACCTTTGGGAGCACTCAACACACCGCTGTGGGCAGTGGCAGTCACACTTGACGGCCGCCCTGAGAAACAACCCTGCGATCAACAGGAGAACCATACGAACAGAGCAGTCTCGTCCGCTGGGTCCCCCGCACCTGTACAGTCACAGCGTTTGGTGGCTAAGCCAGTCGCCTCCAGGAACTAAAATACAAAGGAGAATGAGGCCCGAACACATGAAAACCTCCACGAGAACGTCCATTCTCACAGGTTATTAAAGACCAGAAAACGGGAGCACTCCCAGTGAGTGATCTGGCTGTCTGACAGCGAGCAGGGACTGAAGGCGGTTATCACCGTGTGAGCACCGTGTGAGCAAGGACTGAGTGAAACAGAGTGACAGGAAACACGAACTGGGAGACAGAGTGTCCCTGGCCCCGGAGGACTCACTGGGCTCACTTTCCATTCCTGTGGCTGAGGAAGGACATTCTCTACCACTGGAAGCAAAGATGGAATTCTCCACCAATCCCAATGCAGCACTTTATCAACCCGAGCTCCATTGAAAACATGTAGAAGATGCTCACCTGCCCTTGTTTTCTCACACACCCTGTTACTGAAGTTGCTGCTCTTGTGCTCCGAGGCAAAGGGGTACACTCTCGCTTCCACGCAGTACACAGTCAGCGGCGGCAGGTTCATGATGGTGAACTCCGGGCTACTCTGCACCACTTTTTTCTATAAGAATAATAAAATTCGTGATGAAACTCAGTCGCTTCATAAAATCTGACAGGGAATATGCATTTTCTGTATTTCTTTTCTCTTCATGACTGGTCTCTTCCAAACACCTAGCCGGTATGTAGCAAAGCAATATAAATGCTTTAAGTTACCCATTATAACCAAATCAGAGTTAAAAATCTGTCACCAAAAAAAGCATATGATGCCTCCCTCAGGCAATTTCATCCTAACTGCCACTGCCGCATACCGGTGGGGACAGTTAAGAGTAAGGGCTCCAGCGGCCGCTGTTCCCAGTAAATCACCAGGCAAGCTGCACTGCTGGTGAAGTCCTGTCACTGGGACCTTATTTCCCGATCCTTGAGGGAGAACCTGTCATTGCTGTTTGCACTGGTCAGCCAATGCTACAACCGTGCTGGGTAACAAAGCCATTTCAACACCAAGCCACAAACTGGCTGGGGTAGTTCCCTCTAAGGCCTGGTCCACCAGTCTCATCCTCTGTGTCCCAGAGCCCGTGCAGCACACACCACGCCATCAGGCACGCCTGGGCTTCTGTTCTGCGCATGTGCACTCAGCCTTCAGCATCAGTGAGCAGAGCTCACCAGTATCTGACGCGCAAACTAACTGCAAATACTGTTTTTGGAAAAAAGACGGGGCAGGTCATATAAGACCTCAGCACAAGTCGGACAACGAGCGGCTGCTTGGGTCAGCACGGCCACTAAGGCGGCCCGAGTCTGTGCCAGGTGCTTCAGTTGCCGCCTCATTTCAGACCTGACAAACGCTTGCTGACATCGAGTTGCTAGGGCTGCCAGTGCTTCGGAGAAGAAGAGACCTACATAAAAGTTCAGTATAATGTCTGCTGGACTGGCGACGCTGAAGCTAATTCTCGGAGTTAAATGACACTACAGTTAGCGCAGGCAGACAGCTGGAGGGGAAGCAGACCGAGCTTTGGGATTTGTTTACATTCCAACCAAACATGAAGAGACAACATTCACTGTCTCAGCTGTCCCAGACTGTTATGCTTGATTCTTTGACTGGAATTCCACCGGGGCTCAGGGCATGGGCTGGGCGGGCTCTGCCGAATGACTGGCTCAGAGCAGCACTGAAGTCCATCCCGTTACTCCTCCGTAAGAAGGGTGTTAGCTGGTGCTCTCACACAACTTAAGCTGACCTCTGGAGGCTTTCTCTCCTGAGGTCCACAAAGCTCTCTGTCTCCACTGAGCTGCCAGCTGAGGACATGTGACAACATCTGGAGATATTTGGTTGACATACCTCTGAGGGAGTGCTATGGACACCCAGTAGAAACTGTGATGTTCCGTATCCACTGAAGTAAGGGCGGCTTTACCACAAGGAATTCCCAGGCACAAATGTCATTCTTATAAAGGAACCTTAGTTTAGGACAGTGCTGGGAATCATGGTAAAATGGTTCTAATGCCATAGCAATAGACTCAAGTTATATTTCAAGAGCAAAGTAGAGGGCTGGCAAGAGGGCCCAGTGGGTCAAAGGGTTTCCTGAGAAGCCTGATCACCAGTTTAACCTCTGGGAGGTATTAGGTGGAATCACTTCCACAATCTGTCCTAGAAGTTCACATGTGCCCTTGGATACACACATAATAAACAGGCAATTGTAAACACGTGCATGCACACACACACATGCATACTGTGGGATAGAATATTTGTTTAATTAGGTCGAGATGTGCTGTGCTTGTTTCTGCAGCATTTGCTGAACTAGGTAGAGGTGTGTGGCTCTCTCACCTTGCCTGCCCAGGGCACCTGACTGAGCTAATAAAAGGAACAATGGCCAATAGCAAGGCAGAGGAGGGATAGGCAGGGCTGGCGGGCAGAAAGAAAAGGGGGGCCAGGCAGCCTAGGGTCAGCTGTCCAGACACAGAGGAAGCAGGATGGACAGTACACAGACGAGAGAAACGAGCCTTGGGGCAGCACACAGATGAAATGAAATGGGTTAAGTTAAAAAAAAAAAAGTTAGCTAGAAACAAGCCGAAGCTAAGGCTGGGCATGCATAGTTCATAATAAGTCTCCTGTCATTATTTAGGGGCTGGTGGTCCAAGAAAGCCTGCTACACACACACACACACACACACGCATGCACTCACACACATGGTCACTAACACACACACATGCACTCACACACATGCTCACACACACGCGCACACACGTACTAACACACATGCTCATGCACACATGTACTTACACACACACTCACATACATGCACACACACACATACACACACGCACACATGCAATCACACAAATAAAGCAGGACCCAGATGCAGGCAGCCCATAACTGTCCTGCAGAAACATGGAAAGGCTAATACCGACTCTACCGCACACAGCTGCAGTCATAAATGTCTACAAGACCCCCCATGCACACATCTTAAAGCCACGACATACGTCTCAGTCTCTCTCCCTCCCTGCTCGGTTTCTTTCCCAAGCCACAGTTATGAGGTTTAAGTCACAAAGTTTACTGTGTAGGCTTTTACCTTAGTGTTTGAAGAGATTTCCCAAAAAATTATTTCGTAATTTAGTCCGTGACACTTGTTGGAACTGTCCTGACAGCTCACATTGACAAGCAGAGATTTCCCAGTGGGAGTGATGGCAACGGTTGGAGGACGAATGGCAGCTGGGAAGACGTACAGAAAAACGAAGAATTAGACACCTTAGAACAATTCTTACAAACTTAAACTAAATGAGGAAATTACAGTCTCAAGTGAAAAAACTGAGGTAAGGCATGCACAAACCACACCGGTAACCTCAGCTCTCAGGAGCTCAGGCAGGAGAACTGCCATGAGTTTGAAGCCAGCCTGGGCTACACTGAGTCCCAGGCCGGCCTGGGCTACACTGAGTCCCAGGCCGGCCTGGGCTATAGTGTCAGATGTCGTCTCAGAAAAACATGGCTTACTGTATTCTTGGGAATCAATAAGTTTCTCTTCAGACCAGAAAGATGTGTTGTTTCCATCTGAGGCTTGTACCCGGAGGAAGAACGTATTCGTGTGGGTGGTGTTTTGAGGAAAGACACAGCGTGGAGTCTGGACATTTGCACAGGCAGGCACTGGTCTCCATTGACCTGAACATCCTTCAGGAACACTTTTTAAATAGCGCCTTTGAAAGAACAGAACAGAAGGTAAAAGTCAATCATGAACTCAGTAAACACGTACTAAGGATTTACAATACGTCAGACACTGTAGTCAGCGCTATGGTCCCAGGGACAGCTTCCCCATTTAGGAAACTCATGGGACAATGGAGGAGACACTGGTCCTAACAAAGGAGAGCCGAGGATGCTCCAGAGTGTGCAAGCTGTTCCTCTGTGTGTGTGTGCATGTGAGTGCGTATGTGGAGGTACACGTGCGTGGGGGGAGCAGCGTGAGTTTATGTAGGCCTTAAACTGACGCAGGGTGTCTTGGTTGCTCTCCCCTTTCCTGAGGCAGGGTATTTCACCCAGCTTGCAACGTGCTGATCTGGAAGGTCCAGCTAGCCAGCTTGCCCCAGAACCCTGTCTGACTCCCAGGGGCTGCCACACCTGAACCTCAACTCCGGCTTGTGCTTATATGGTAAACGCTTTCTCGGCTAAGTCATCGCTTCCAAGTACATGTCTTTTAAACAAATCATTATTAAAAGGCTGATATAAAATTCAGAAATAAAAACTTACTAAAAATATTCAAAGCATCCCTTGTCTTTTGTGAACTTGGTACAGGCTATAGTCATCCGCAAGAAGGGAATCTCAACTGAGCAGAGGCCTCCAGGATACACAGGCTGTAAGTAGGCAAGCCTGTAGGGCATCTTATTAGTTACTGATACGGGGTGGGGGGGCAGCCCCAGCCCACTGTGGGTATGGACACCCCTGGCTGGTGGTCATAGGTTTGATAGGAAAGCCCCGAGGAGCAAGCCAGTAAGCAGCACCCCTCCATGGCCTTGGCATCAGCTCCTGCCTCCAGGCTCCTGCCCTGACTTCCCTCATGTTAGACTATGATATGGAAGAGAGCTACGTAAACCCTTTCCTTCTCCAACTGCTTTTGCTCACAGTGATGCATCACAATAGTAACCACAAGTAAGAGAGCCCAGTCATCTTTTCTTGAAGCTACTTCTGACTCTCACATGCTAAACCACACTACTTCACCATGCATGTGCATGCGTGTCTTCCCAGGTCCACATTCAAAGACTTCAAGCTGGTAGCTTCAAAGTGGACATGATGGAAACATTTCTGCCACAAAGTCCTGCCAACACTACAAATAGGGACTTTCCCTTCTGGACAACACCCCAGCAAAAGTGCCATAACTTTTCCATGGCGTCCCTTACAGAGCGCATCCCATCAAGGGGGAGTCCCTCCCTGAGGCTGGAGAAGAAAATCTACTGGCCAAGACACTAGAGCTCGAAGCATCTCAACTGAAGGCCAGGACTGCAAACCTCCTAGGTGCCTTCCTTAGGCATTCTGCCACCTGAGCACAGGGCCCCACATAGAATCCAGTCACATATAGCCAAACAGACCCCAGGCCACCTCCCCTCACAGACCAAAATTGCCAATGGCCCAAAGATTTCTGAGATAGGCGGCCAGTGCCAAGTCTTTTTGTTTTCTTAAGTCACTTCTCCTTGTCCAAATGTCTGTTCTGCTCTTCTCGGACACCCTCAAGGCTTCTGCCCCCTCACCCCCAATACCATACACTTCCTACAATCCCTCCAGTGTGGGCAAGAGCTGAAAAGATGGTGGCTGCTTCGCTTTTCTGTCAGGCTACATTGTTTGGCAGGAGGAGGGCTTCTGAAGATTTAGCTTAAGGGTCCATCCACCATTCCGAGTTAAAGGAACGGCACATCTCCTTTGTGGACATGACCTTTGAGATGAACCCTTAACCCAGGTGTAGAGGTCACAGTCCCCTCCTAATGTCCTCTGAGATGAGGCCTTGAGTTCTACAGCTTCAAGACAGGGCTTCTGCCCACAACCGCAGGAGCAAGGCGGGTTTCAGATGAAGTCACCCTCCTTGGCGACATTACTTCTCTTTCCTTTGTGTGTGAGCTGGCGAGTGCGTACACGTGGATGAGTATGGTGTGTGCATCTGTATATGGGCTGGGATGTGTACGGGGCCAGGCCCAGCCACCGGGTGTCCTGTCACTTTGTGTGTGAGCCGGCGAGTGTGCACACGTGGATGAGTATGGTGTGTGCATCTGTATATGGGCTGGGATGTGTACGGGGCCAGGCCCGGCCACTGGGTGTCTTGTTCTATCACAAGCCACCATGCCCCCTTGAGACCTACAATAAGGGAGCCTATAATAAGACTAGCGGCTTCCCAGAGCACCTCACCCACTCTCAGTCAGTCATTCTGTGTGCGGTCAGCGGCACACAGAGGCAGCGTGAATGGACATCGAAGCACACTGGGTAAAGAACAGGTAGGAAAGGGACTTACGGGAGCCACTCTGCTCTGAAGCTCACGTCTGGAGATGCATAGTCCCAGCTGAGAACATAGCGCTCACCCTGGGCATCCACTTCTAGGTTTTCTGGCACAGGCAATCGATTTGCCTCTAGAAGTCAAAGAATCCATTAAACATACATTTCTTTATAACACTTTTTTTTTAAAAAAAAAAAATTATGTTCTGCCTGAATGTAAGTATGTACACCAGAAGAGGGCACCAAATCTCACTATAGATGGCTGTGAGCCACCATGTGGTTGCTGGGAATTGAACTCAGGACCTCTGGAAGAGCAGCCAGGGCTCTTAACCTCTGAGCCATCTCTCCAGCCTTTAAACTAGTGCGACAGAACCGTATTTATCCTGTCTGATTTTAAGAGACAAAACATCCTAAATTTCCAGTTAAAACCACGAACAAGCCCAGTTCCCACCCCTGACCTAATTTCTGGTAAGCTTGGCAGTGCCAGCACTGTGGGCATTTCATCTGTAGAGGCTTTGGATACCAACTATTCTGCTAGCAACTGCATGAGGGATTGCAGGCAAGTAAAGAAGCATTTATGATACTATAAAATTTTAACTTTTAAGTAGAATTTATTATTATTGAGACAAAAATTACTAAGTAAATGACTTGATTCTGTAAGTGCTATTACCCTCCCTTCCTTCTGTGTGTGTGTGCTGGACAAGTGTTCAATCACACGCCCCCACCAATGCTCTGTTTTAATAATTATTAAACCTTCATTCAACTCCATCATGTAAGACGTGCAAATTCCATGCTGTCTGTAGTGGGTTACTGACCTAAGGTCAAGAGTTCACGCTTACTTGTGGTGTTTATACACTGCACTTCACTGAAGTTGCTCTGCTTCCTGAGGTACAGATGTATGGCTTCAACTTTTAAACAGTAAGTAGTCTCTGGTGACAGTTTTAAAATCTTTTCTATGCAATACTTAGTTGTAACATTTTGCTACAAAAAAGATAAAAAATAAAGAGTCAAATTTTAGAATTCACTCAGCGCCTTCTCTCTCACATGGAATCGGGGTCAAGAGACACTTACGGTCACACCTGAAGACTTCTGCCAGAACACTATCTGGTACATGAAGTTGTAAGTTTCGGTTGCCCACATCTTCCCACCTTCTCCCGGTTGAGAGATGTGGACTGATATAGCTTTGTCTTCAGCTTCCAAACGTACTCCCGGGGGGCCAATGTGAGCTGTTGACAGCAGAGAACAATTACAGAACTTCAGAGACCCCTCTAAAATGTTCATGACAAGCATCTGCCTGGAGGTAAGAAAGAGGACAGCCCTCATGGGTCTGACGCTTTGGGAGGACATGGCAAGAACAACCCTAAACCAAGGTCTGCACGCAGGCGCTGCAGACAAACACGTGAAGAACAGGAAGGGCACACATAGGAAAGCCAGCCGCTCCGAAACCTCCGAGCAGAAGCCGGAACAAAGCACCGAGCTGTGCAGATGGCAGAACGGCAGCCCAGGACCGGGGACCACATGTGAACTCTCTAAGACGGGACACTGAGGGCACAGAGTGCGTGAGAGGACTCAGGAGGAGTCAGACATCTGGTTGGAAGCTGTGCAGAAGGAAGTGGTAACAATTTAAGAAGACACTGGGGGTTGAGGATGGCCAAGAGCCAAATCCCATTCAGGTTCTGGTATCATCAGCCTGGCCAAGGGATAGGAAGCAGGGAGGTCAGAAAGAAGTCAAGAGAAGACAACAAAGGCCTCAGTAAAAAGGCAAAAAGGGACGTTTCAGACATCCTCACGTGACATTTGTGAGGCATAAAATGTAGAAAAGGATCAAAATGAGTCTAGGGTCAAGCAAATTACCAGCCGATGTCATTCCCTGAGATGGCGAGGGCTGCAGGAAGGGCTGTGCGTGAGACTGAGAGCTGTGCTCGACCATTTTCACCGTGAGACGGCTTTGCCATCTCGGCAGACACTGGATGGAGAAGGGGACACCAGTCTAATGCTCAGAGGGAGCCTGGGGCAGGGAATGGAATGCTGGGAGTCAACAGCAGGTCCAATGACTAAGGCCGGCTACAGCCCAAGCTTGACATCTCCTAGAGAGACAACAGGACACCAGGAGACTCAGGAGCGAGCAGTTCCGGGGGAGCTGGGAGAGAGCTTTGAGGGACTGGAGCCCTGTGCACGCTGTGCTCAGACGCACCCAGCCTGAGGACCGGGAGTGCACCCGGGAGAAGAGGCGGCCACTGCCATCTGCAGAGGTGACAACATGTGAGAAGCAAGGAAGTGAACAGACAGTGATGAGAAGGAAATGGGAGGAAATGACAGTGGACACAGGCCAGGCCTTAAGATGGGGACAGGGCAGTGCATCTTGAATTCTGGTCTCTAGATCTCTTTGCGCTGCCGTAGAAATCACGGAAGCTGTTGAAGATTTGTTTACACTGGCTATGGACTCTGACACTCAGCATATTGCCCATGAAAGTAGACAAAATTACAAAATGCGGATTCACAAAGATAAAATTATCAGACACATTGTTACAAAAGTAATTTCCAAAACCAAGAACTTAAAGGCGTGATTTTAAAAAACCTACATTAAAAACATCTCATTACCCTGTGAACTAACCAGCACAGACCCACATCCGCAGCCAGTAGGTTCTCGCCGTGTGTCTACCCTCCTTTCAAAATTCTCTTATACAGACAATCAAAATATCAAAATGAATGAGGCAATAAAGTCTCTGGATTACTAGGGAGCAGTGACTTTAGGAATACTAAAAGGCTCCTGGTGACCACACCCAGAGAGCCACTAACACCAGCGGGAAGGAGCGGCACCAGGCCGAGGACTTCTCTGGTGACACTTATTAGGGAACGAGGCGGCCAGCGATGCCTTCTCACCTCTCTGAAATGGAATGAACTGCTCGACCTCATTCCACGAAGAAGTGTGCTTTCCTTTCTCAGCTCTCACACGAAACTTCATGTAGGTGAAAATATTTGCATCCCGTAAGGAGAATTCGCATTCAGTCCCCATAATGTGTTGACACTCGGGCATCTTTAACCAGTTCTCCATCTCGTCTCTTTTAATTGAGAAAAAAGACTGAATGAGCTCACGTCCACACAGAAGCTGCAGAGACGTGTCCTATGCACCGTCGTAGTTCGCTTAACTTACTTCCCATGCTGAGCGTCACCGTGTGCCGAGCATGTGAGCAGAAGGGAAGGGTCAGAAACAATACCAACAAATTAACAACAGCTGTAGAAAAAGGCCACGGGCAAAGTGCGCCCAGGAGGTGCCCAAGGACAAGCACACTAAGAAGCTTGTCATTTGGAACAGCAGAGGCTGCTGCCGTCAGGGACAGGGACGTTTCTAAAGCAGATGCCTTCAAAGGTCATGTGCTTTCCAGCTTCCCACGCTGGGTTACTATGTGAGCTGAGCCATAGAGCTAGGTGGTCGGATCTACTTGGGAAGCCTGGACACAGGCCTCTTGGTGCTGCCCTAGGACCTCCACCAAAGTCCACCAAAGAGGTGGCTTCATTAACGACAGAAGAAAAACATCTGGGAAAAATAAAATGGAAATTATTCTTAAAACAATATTTCCTTTGGGATAATGTCCTGCTAACACTTACCTGGTTACCCTTTGACACCTTTCTGATACATATGAGCTACGGCACTACGTGGAATAAGTCAGATATTTAACTTTTGTTATTGCTGGGTTTTGAGACAGGTTTCTCTATGTAGCCTTGGTTGTCCTGGAACTCACTCTGTAGACCAGGCTGGCCTCAAACCTGGAGATCTCTCTGCCTCTGCCTCTGGAATGCCACCATCACCTGCCACCATCACCTGGCCACCATCACCTGGCCATTTGGTCAATTTTTAACAAGGCTTTCACGTCAGTTCTCTGAGTGCTTACATCAGCATTTCAAGAAACCAGAAACAAAAGATCCATGAGACAGAGCAGATGTGGCCGGCCTAGGACAGCGGTGTGACTTCTGGACCTGTGTCTCTGGACTTCAACTTCCTTATGGAAGCTTGGTAATTGGTCTGATAATCGATGTGGGATTCCCTTCCATATGCTATGGCTATGTTTTATTACTACTGGTTAATAAAGAAGCTGTTTTGGCCAATGGCTTGGTAGAATAAAGCCAGGAGGAAAATCCAAACAGAGATATATAGAGAGAGTAGGCAGAGGCAAACAGATGCCAGGCAGTCCCCAAGGAAACAAGACATGTAGAAAATGAAGTAATGCCATGGCCACGTGGCAATACACAGACTAATAGAAATGGGTTAATTTAAGATGCAAGAGCTAGCTAGAATACGCCTGAGCCACTGGCCAAGCAGTGTTGTAATTAATATCGTTTCTGTGTGATTATTTGGGTCTGGGTGGCTGGGAAAAGAAGTGTGGTCCTCCCTTTACAGATGATGACTGCCTTCTGACCCTCGGCAAACAGACTGCCTATCCTAGGATAGACTCAGTACTGTGTGGCATGTTTTCCTTGGCCCTATCTCAAACCAATCACTCTGTTTCCTGGGGTCTTTAATTCTTCAAAGACTTCTTCTAGAATTATGTGCACATGTGTCTATGTGTGGGCATGTGCACGTTATTGTGGGGAACAGCTAAAGCTGGGGTTCTAGGTGTTGTGAGCTGTCTCACCTGTGCTGAGCACCTGAGTTGGGTTCTCTGCAAGGCCAGAGAGCTGCCAAGCCCTCTCTAGAGCCCCAGTCTCCTTACTTCTATTACCACACCAGAAGCAAAGCCTTGGTATGTCAATGTAAACAAATGGATTCCAGCAGAAATGTCCAATCAGACAATTTTAGGCGACTTGTATTAATAGTCTTAAAATGGGGCATGGCTGGGGATGGTGATCCATGTTTAGAATCCTAGCACTGGGAAGGCTGAGACAGGGGGATTGAACCTTTGATGCTAGCCTGGGCTACACAGTTAAGTTTGAAATCATTCTAGGCTATATAGTAAGACTCCACAAATAAACATCTAAACAAACAAACAAAAATAAGAAAAATTAAATAATAAAAAATGTGGTGAGGGGTGTTGCTCAGTGGTCAGTGCTGGCCTAGCGCGTGCAACACCCTGAGCTTAGCGTGACTGACAACGACTGACTGCGTGAATATGAAACTCGCCCCACTGTCCTCTTAACCCAGCACGATTCGTTATCTGTGTCCTTCCGTGTTCCTGCAGATAGAGCTCATCTGTCAGTGGATGGCTACTGCATTCAAGGGAGCTCCTCACAGTGGGAGCGAGTTTCATATTTTCTTAAAAAACACTTTATCATACTCACAACTACAGCAGAATACAATTTGAAACATGGCTATCTAACTGACCCAAGACTCATTCCTAAATTCAGTCTCCTGACCAAGGAGGCATTCAGGAAGTACGTGTTAAATAGTGACTATCACACATGATGTAGATCACAGTCTTTCCGATTGGTTTCCTTAGAGACAGTGTCTCCCTCGGTATTCCAGGGTGGCTCGGAACACACAGCATAGCCCAGGATCGCCTGTCATTGCTATCCTCCAGCCTCTGCCCCCTGAGTGCTGGGATCCTAGGCGTGAGCCACTCTGCCTGCAGACAGGTCATTTGAGACATAGTGACAGTGATGTTTAGGCAGTGTGTGTTCTAGATGCAGAGACTGAAGGGCTCACTCGTTCTGTCTATCATCAGTGCTGCCTGTCCACATGGTGAGGAACACACAGTAGACACGGAGTAGGCCAGGTCTGCTCACACCCCAGCTCACCACTCCCATCACCCTCTGGGCACTTCAGGCTTTGCTTACATAAATTATTTTTATTTTATTTAAAACATTTTTTTTATTTAAGTATGTAGGTATGTACGTGAGAATACAGGACCCACAGACATCGCCTGAGCTGGAGTTACAGACGGCTGTGAGTGGCCTGACCTGGCGACGGGTCCCCAGGAGTGCCCCGAACTGCTGAGGCATCTCCCTAGCACCACAGAGTACTTAATACAAAACCACTCACTCTGTGCTCAGACAGACTTTAGAGCTAAACTCCTCCTCCTCCCCGGAGTACCTGGACAGCTCCTTTAGAACCACGCTTCCTTTCACTCTCAGAACAGCCCTGACTCGGATGATAAATCACTACCACAGCTGTCACAGCTGTCACCTCCATTAACACCACAGGGACAACGCAGACACTGACAGCAGTGGAGGGCAGACTCAGGCTGCACAACTCCGCCCCACTGCTGTTAGTGTGTAGGTCTCTGCAAGGGGACTGCTTGCAAGGCCAGCAGCGCTACAGGGTGAGGATGATGCACCTGCCAGGACAGAGGGCACAGATGACCGTGAACTGGGTCTGGGATAATAGTGCTTGCGTGAGACTCTGGCCGTCTGCTCTTTCTTATGGGTAACTTTAAAGGCGTCTGGCAAGATCCCCACTACACCTAAGCCAGCTGCTGGGTGAAGAACCCAACCTAAGGCAAAGAACAAATGGTATCAAAACTCAAAACGGAATGTACGGGAACCCGCTAGAGAGACAACCTGCCTGTGCACACAGACACAGTTAGGAATCTCTGGGTCACTGTCTTAGTAACACGTGGAAGGAAACACAGTGCAGTGGTGGGGGAAGCACTGGGGTCCTGACACCTTCCTTCACTGCTGACTCCATCCTACACAGGGATAAAGGGGTGCAGTCGGGGACCCCACACTGAGCAGGAGATGGAGGGCAGCACCTCCTGAGCTGGGCCCCCCTTAGGCCTGCCTTAGAGGTCCTCTGTTGATCGCCCTGGCAAATGGGAGGCAGAAAGTCAGTGCTGAGAAAGAGGCACTGACGAAAGCATTCAGTCTATGGAAATGCAGGGTCTGAAACACTCATGCATATGAACTGTATTTAATCTAGGGCTGGAGAGGCGGCTCAGTGGGTAGCAGCACTCACTGCTCTTGCAGAGGGCCTGTTAGGTCCCCAGCACCCACATGGTTCACAACCTTCCCTAACTACAGTTCCTGGGAGTCCCGTGCTCTCTTCTGGCCTCCACAGGCACCAGGCATGCACACGGTACACACACACACACACACACACACACACACACACACACACACAGAGGCAGAATAGTCATGCACATAAATTAGCCTAATTTTTAAAAAGTGAAACCTTTGTGTATGACGGTAATGAAAGGAAAACTGACTCCAGAAGGCTGTGAAAGGCTGTTCCAGGACCCAGCATGCCTTCCGGGGTCTCTGCACATGTCAAGACAGTTCAGACACCATAACACATTTAGTGAATGAATATGTGACATCCATGCAGAGAAGGGATGGGAGAGGATGTGTACTACTCTCAACCACAGACCTCAAGAAACGTCTTCTTTATTTTGTTTGTTTGTTTGTGCGTGCGTGCGCATGTGTCTGTGCAAACACACCACGGCACATGAGTGGGGGTCAGAGGACAACTTGCAGGAACTGGTTCTTTCCTTCCACGCAGGTCCTGGAAATCCACTTAGTCTCTCAAGCTTGGCAGCATGCACTTCTGCCCGCTGAGCCATCTCACCAGCCCTTCAGCTCAGCTCGGCCTCCACTGAGATAGTCACAAATGTGATGGGAAGTAGAACTCTATGATGAAAATGAATGCTTCCCACATTAAAAAGAAATCATGGATCCAGGCAGTGGTGGTGCACACCTTTAATCCCAGCACTTGGGAGGCAGAGGCAGGTGGATCTCTGTGAGTTCGAGGCCAGCCAGGTCTACAGAGAGTTCCAAGACAGTCTCCAAAGCTACAGAGAAACCCAGTCTCAAAAAAAAAAAAAAAAAAAACCCTAAAAAAAACCCCAACAAAACAACAACAACAAAACAATTACAATAATGCCCCGTATCATTCCAGCAAGCCAGTTAGTCACTTACGTTTGATATTCTGCTGAGAAAGTCACATTGTTCACTGACTCTTCATTGCGGCTCCACTTTAGGGTAAAGCTGTCATCTATAATATAGACGTCTATATCCCCAGGAGGTTCCAGATCTTCACCTAGAAAGCCAACAAACAACAAAATGATTATTTATATAAAAATATTCTATAAATTGTTATTATTCACATCAATAACACGACTGATTGCATTCATTTCATTTTTTTTAGCTGTGATGTCTAAGAGCCACCACCACATCAGCATGTACACTAACCCTCTGGGTGCAATAGGGGCACACACACACTGGCGGTCACCAATGGCTCACCACACCAGCATGTATACTAACCCTCTGGGTGCAATAGGCACACACACACTGGCGGTCACCAATGGCTCACCACACCAGCATGTACACTAACCCTCTGGGTGCAATAGGCACACACACACTGGCGGTCACCAATGGCTCACCACACCAGCATGTACACTAACCCTCTGGGTGCAATAGGCACACACACACTGGCGGTCACCAATGGCTCACCACACCAGCATGTACACTAACCCTCTGGGTGCAATAGGCACACACACACTGGCGGTCACCAATGGCTCACCACACCAGCATGTACACTAACCCTCTGGGTGCAATAGGCACACACACACTGGCGGTCACCAATGGCTCACCACACCAGCATGTACACTAACCCTCTGGGTGCAATAGGCACACACACACTGGCGGTCACCAATGGCTCACCACACCAGCATGTACACTAACCCTCTGGGTGCAATAGGCACACACACACTGGTGGTCACCAATGGCTCACCACACCAGCATGTACACTAACCCTCTGGGTGCAATAGGCACACACACACTGGCGGTCACCAATGGCTCACCACACCAGCATGTACACTAACCCTCTGGGTGCAATAGGGGCACACACACACTGGCAGTCACCAATGGCTTCACCAACTGAACTTCAGATCTGCTTAACAAGACAGAAACCCTTCCTGGCACTGGAAACTTCGTCAGCTGCTCAGGCCCAGTGAAGTCATGGATCTTGGCAGAGAACCTACAAATGTCATAAACCATCATAATCCCTAACTCTGTTTTAAATGTTTGTCCTTACACCCCCAGGGAAGTGTAGTTCTCTGTGCAACAGAGGGAGAGCATAACAGAAAAATACAACTGGTCAAAATGCAAAGTCGTGGAGTCCCAAGTTGTACTTAAGGCTCAGGGACTGCTGGGGAAGAGGGAGCGTTATGAGCCAGGGAAACAGGGAATTGACTGTGTCTCCTAGAAATGCCAGAGGCTACATCCATGACGGCTCCCCAACATGACTGCCTAACATGACCTAGCCGAGCATCAGACATGCTAATGTGGAAGGGAAAAGCTCAGGAGGCCTCTGTCCTAGAGAAACAAAACGAAGAAGTACGGGCAACCGGGAATGCAGTGAGCACGTCAATCATTGGATGTCCAGTATCAAATGGTCAGCCTGAAAACACATACGCAGGAAACATTATACAGATTAAGAAGGGTGTTAATTACACATTTAGGAATACATACGAACACACACACACAGTTACAGGAAAAGAGACCGTGAATTTGAAAGAGTGAGGAAATGGGAGTGCTGGTACATGAGAGAGTATGGACTCCAGTTCCTAGGCTGTAATTTTTAATCTTTTCATATCTGGTTCCACTGTTATTTCCTATTTTGAAAATGTCTGCCGCAAGGCTATCATGTCCTATCCTGACACGCTTCTAACCCAGAAGTTTACAGATTATAGTTAGATTACATGAGGAGATACTGGAGAAAACATTTTCTGATTCTTTTTTCTTTTTACCTGTCGGGGGGAGGTATCTATCAAGTCTCTCCACTCTCAGTATTAACTTTCTCAGTGTTGGGGATTAAAGTCGTGGTCTGGCATATGCTAGGAACTACATTTCCAGGACCCCATCAGAGCCTTTGAACTTCATCCCTAACCTGCATCTATCCTGCTATCCTTATCTTCTTAACTTGGGCCCCATCCCATTTGTTGGAATTTACAGATTCTGTGCAGGAAGGGCAGTAACTGGGCATATGAGATTAACAAAGGATCCAATAGCATTTGTAGCAGTTATAATATTCTGTTCATAATATTTGTTTTCATATTTATATGTAGGAGTACTTTGTCTGCATGTACACCATGTCCTTGTCTGGTCAGAAAAGGCATCAGATCTACCTAGACCTGGAGTTACAGGTGTTTGAATGCCGCCACATGGGTGCTGGACTGAACTTGGGTCCTCTGAAAGAACAGCCAATATTCTAAACTGCTGAGTCATCTCTCTAGACCCCAGTTCATAATATTTTAATCGAAATGAATGTAAGCCCGAGAGGAAGTGGAGATCTGATGAGGTATAGCCAGGGAGGATGCATCTTCCTAGTGCTAACTGAAAGAGCCCAACGGTAGAGGTATTTTGGTACTTGGGTGACCAACTCCTAAGTGAATGGGTGGTGTAGGAACTCAGTAGAGTCACTGAACCAGGCAGATATAAGAGGAACAGCTGAGGTTTCAGGAGTACCGTGACCTTGAGGAATCCTCGAGGAAAACATCGCAGCCATCCCATGACTTTGGTCACAAGATACATCAGGCACACCTGAGGTCCTTGCATTATTGTGTATTGCAAACAATATATAAGAAAGGACTAGAGTCCTGGGGGCATGCGATGCTCTCCTTTACTAGGATACAAAGCATGATTTAATTTAATTAATTTTGTTTTTTTGACATTTGGTCTAAGGACCAACATTAATCCCAGCACTCTAGAGGCAGAGGTAGGTTGATCTCTATGAGTTCCAGTTCTGCCAAGGCCATACAGTGAGACCCATCTCAAAACAACCCAGCTCTGGCTTGGCGCGGTAGCACATGCCAGTAATCCCAGTCCTCAAGCAGCAGAGGCAAGAGCGTTCAAGTTCAAAGCCAGCCAGGCTACATAGTGAGAGCCTGTCTTAATAAACCCAAACATGAGGGTGCAGGGAAACAGCTCAGCTGACAAACGTGCTGGCCGTGCAAGCATGAGTGTAGTGTTATTTGTGATCTATCAAATAAAGCTTGCTTGAAGATCAGAGCGAGCCACTCATGAGCCACAGAGGCAAGGCACTGGGGGCACACAGTTTTAATTCCAGCACTCAGGAGGCAGAGGCAGACAGATCTCTGAGAGTTCAAGGCCATCCTGGACTACACAAGATAAGTCCAAAAGAGAATCAGAGCCAGGCTGTGGTGGCTCACACCCTTCATCCCAGTACTTGGGAGATACACGCACGCCTCTGATGCCAGCTCTAGGGAGGTGGAGACATACAGGGATATGGCTGGGCATAGAGGGGGATATACGGCGGGAGGAGACAGGAGTTCATAGCATTTAGTCTAAGGACTTGTAGAGATGGGATACCCATTTCCTTCTGAGCATTGTAGAGGTAAGACCTAGTGGCTGGCTGCTCAGCTTCTCTGATCTTTCAGCTTTCACCCCCTAATATCTGACTCTCGGTTTTTATTATAAAGACCAACCAGAATTTGCGCTACACACAAGGAACTGAGTTCGCCTCCAGCTGGGCGTGGCAGCATGCGCCAGTCATCCCAGGGCCCAGCAGATGACAGCAGGAGGGTGCCTGGTGCTTGATGAGTGACCAATATATTATCCAGCTCCACGTTCAGAGACCCTGTCCAGAAAAGGTGGATAGCACCAGAGCACAGCACCTGACAGTGACCTCTGACCTCCCGTTTCAGGAGCACACAGCAGCACACTGTGCACACACGCACACATCAAAACAACAGCCCAGCGTAGTTAAGCCACAAGCCTCCCAGGAATAGACTCACAAAGTATGATTTTCGATTCAGTCAGTAACTGGTCCACACTGTTAGGTGAGCTAGTTAATGTCTCAGTGCCTCAGTTTCCTCATCTGTGGAATGGCAGCGCTGAAAGTTTAGTTTACCCCTTTAAAAGACTTAGTGGCGAGTCCAGTAAATGCCCCTGTAAATTATGCTTTAGTCCAGTTTGAGGTCAGTTCTTCTGAGACACACACATTCTCACCATTATCCTCTCACCTCAACCCCCGCCTCAGTCTCTCCAGTGCTGGGACAACTGGCTAAAATTAATTTTTTAATGTACACCCTCCTCAATGTCCATTTTACATGAAAATAGGGAGGGGTTCCCTTTTATACTGAAGTAAACACGATCGTGAAGCTTTCCAAGACCAAGGGCTTCAAAACATCACCTGGGGCTGCATCGGGCCACTTGCACGAATTTCCAGGACTGGGTGCTATCTGCAGGGTGAGACTTGGGGTGTCCCATATCTCCCAGGTGTACCGATTTCTAAGAGGAATCGGGACTTACTAGCAGCCTCACAAAACCCCAGGAGTCCTGGCTAGCAGGCCGGGCTGTCTTCCTCGAGGTGCTTAGGCCACTATGAAAAGATCGCTCTTATCTACCCCCCCCCCTCTCCCCACAGAGAAGTCACCGCTCTCCTGATGCAACAAACTAGCCCGGCGGTTTCCTGGCTTGCTTGTTATTGTTTTGGTAGCCTGCTGCAACCTCGGCTGGCCCGTAAGGAGACTCTCATCTCACTCAACGCTGCGGCCGGGACAAACCGCTCTAGGCTGGGAGAGCGAGTTTCTGCGGCTGTCTGGTCTCCCACCGCCATCCGGCCCGAGGTTTGGGCCCAGGACAGCGTCCCCAGGCTGATCAGGGGCGCAGGAGCCGCTTCCGTCGGGAGGGTGACTGGATCAGCGCCACCCACGCCCAGCTAGCGGCCAAGGCCAGCCGGCCAGGGCTCTCCCTCCCTGCCGCCCAGCCCTCGCCCAGGCCCCTCGGCTCACCTGCGGCTGCAGGCAGCACCCAAGGCGCCCCGGCCACCAGCACCAGGGCCGCCGAGCCTAGGAGAGCGAGCATGGTGTCGGGAAGACAGACCAGTGGCTCGCATCCCCCCCGGCCTCCTCCAGCGGCGCTGTGGAGTCGGAGAGGATCCCAGAGCAGCGTGGCCCCCTCCGCGAAGCCCCACCCCTTCCGCGACGTCCCGCCCCTTTCTATAAACCCCGCCCCTCCGCAACACCCCGCCTTCTCTGGGAGCAAGCCGCTTGGAAAGTCCCGGGCTGTCTAGCCTTAAACTCGTGACTTCTGATCGTAGACGCCCTGTCACGCCCCACTCCCACTTTCGTAAAGACCGACTATGATAATTATCTCAGGGGGAAACGCGAGGTGCAGCCAGTACGCCTGCTCAGATCCTCCCGATAACACCCCACCCCCTCCACTCCCCACCCCTAGCTTCTCAGCTTCCTGTTTTTGTCCTGGGGTGGAGCTGGTGTGGAGGCTGTAGGGTGTTTTCTCATCCGGGGACGGTGCACGGGCATGCTTGCAGCCTGGTGTGGGCATCCCCTAACGCCCGGGAGTGTTGTTCCTTTGCGGAACTACAGCTCCCAGAGTTCCTCTGGACCACGGACACATTTCCCAGAAGCCTTTGCATTCCTCGTTAACAAGCGAGGGTGCTACGACCCCGACCCCTTTTTCCTTCTCTTTCCCTGCCTGTGTACCTGCCGTTGTTACCCCTCCCCCATTAAAAGTGCACCCACGTGGGACCTTTTCGTGTCTGTGTTTTCTTCCCCGTGTAATGTCTTTACCCTCTAACCCGCAGACAAAAAAGCCAGCCAGAAATTAGGAACAACACCGAGGACCCTGGGAGCGGGAAGGCACGGGCTACACATTTACTATCTCAACTGCACACGATTTTTACGCTTGATTCTTTGATTGAAATCCCACTGGGATTCATGCGATGGTTTGGTGGGTTTTCAATCACACAGCATTTGAATTCTTTTCCTAAAAATAGTTTTTAGGTTGGTTTTTCGTGTATGAGTGTTTTGCCTAAGTGTATATATGTGCGCTATACCTATGTGCATGCCTGGTACCGATGGAGGCCAGTAGAACGTGCCAGATACCTTGGCACCGGAGTTACCGATCTTAGGAGCTACCTTGAGGGTCCTGGGTCCTGGTATCCGAATTCCAGTCCTCTACAGTGTGCTCTTAGACATCTCTCTAACTCTTTAACTGTTTTCCATAACTACCTCCTAAAGAGATTTTTATTTATTTGTTGTTTAAGTCATTTTTTAAAAGCATGCTTATACATCAGCAATGATACAATATGGAATTATTACAGTAGAGAAAGAAACAATACCCAAATACGAAGAAATTTTCTGTGTTCTCATATTTCTGACTTTTGAAATTCAAGAACAAATCAGTATTCCCAGGTAGTTTCGGGGCTTTGAAAATAATGATACTTTAAACATAGTTGGTATAAACTTTGCCTCTATAATCTGGATAGCTAGAATTCCTGTTCAAAGACTCAAGTACACTATATTCAATAGTATTTAGAACTACATTCTAGAAGGATAGTCAATGAGGGGCTGGAGAGATGACTCAGTGGTTGGAAGCACTGGCTGCTCTTCCTGGGGACCCTTGTTCAATTTCCAGCAACCACATGGCAGCTCGCAGCTGTCTGTAACAGTTCCAGGGGATCTGACACCCTCACACTGACATGCATACAGACAGACGCCAATGCACATCAACAACAACAACAACAACAACAACAAAAATAGTCAATGAAAACATAACCTAAAATTCGGGTCTCACAGTAAGATCAATAGCACTTCATGAAATCATATGTAGCCAATGCCCAACTAAAGACTTGTGTTTCACAAAGTGTACGTGTGAACTCCTGATAAGCCCATTAGCTGTGGTAATTTACCTATTCTTGTTCTATAACATGTTATGCCCTCATGTACATGTTTACTTAGACACATGTAGCCATAGGCTAGGACCCACAAATGAAGGAGAACATTTTCCTCCCAAGATGGTGGCCTTGCTTAATTATGTATTCTAAGTCCATTCATGTTGTGGAATATCATTTTAACTGGGCAAAGATGTGTTATGTTTGTTAATGCTCCAGAATATTACCTTAGCCATGTAGAGGTGTGTTACCTTTGTTTATGCTGCATGTGTTTAATGTTGTAAGGATGTGTTGCATTTGGTTCACCTTGCCCATGTAAGATTGGTCTAATAAAAAAACTGCCAATAGCTAGGCAGGAGAGGGATAGGTGGGGCTGCCAGGGCAGAGAATAAATAGAATGAGAGAAAGCTGCAGAGAGAAGAGACCAGGGGAGACAAAAGGGAGAGCCTGGGGCCAGAAACCAGGCCAGCCAGACGTAGAGACAGCAGGAAAGTAAGGGAAAAGAAAAAAAAAACCCTGAGGCAAAACAGAGATAAAGAAAAACAGATTAAAATAAGAGCTAAGATAAGGCTGAGCATTCATAACTGATTTTAAGTCTCCGTGTCCTGATTTCAGAGCTGGTTGGTAGCCAGAAAGAGAAAGCCTGGTACACATTAATTTTTTCTGACAAGTTTTGTGATTGTTTTCCTTTATAGCTGAATAGTATTTCATTACTTATATGTACCGGATTCTCAGGATCCACTCATCTGCTGGTGGACAAGTAGGCTGGGTCCATTCCCCTCCTATAGTGACAAAGCAGCAGTCAACAGGAGGGTGCAGGTATCTCTGTGATGGGGTGTGGACAGAGGGAAATAGCTGGCTCATGTGGTGGTTCTGATTTGAGGAACCCCAGAATGGTTTCCACAGTGACTATTGATTTGCATCCATCAGTGGTGAGTAATAGTTTCTTTTTCCCGCATTCTCTCCAACATTCGTCAAACTTCTTGATGACAGGGGTGGGGTGGCATCTCCAACATTTGCTGATGGCTCTGGACATTGAATACTCTAAAAGTAGTTATTGGCTATGTATTCATGTTTTTGAAAACTGCATTCAACCCATTCGTCCATTTGGTGACTGGTAGTTTTATTTCCTTGGTATTTAGCTTCTGTAACTCTTGGGTTTCCCATATCAGAACCTTGTCTGAGGTGTAACGGGTGAAGATTCCCCCATCCTGTGGCCTGTGTGTTCCTCTGATGTCTCTGTGGATGAGCAGAAGCTCAGCATGTGACGTGCCGTGGGTGGATGCCGGGGATGAGTTCCGCTCAGACACTTCTTGCCTCCCCCGTGTGGTGCACAGTGTCCCCTATGTTTTTGTCTAGATGTTTCAGGTTTTAAATTAAGGTCTTTGATCCATTTAGAATTGGCTTTTGTGAAAAACACAACTCTAGTTTCATTCTTCTGCTGGTGGACGTCCAGTTTGGCCAGCATCATTTGCTGAGTGTTTTTCTCCGCATGCCTCTTTTGTCAAGAGTTGGATGGACACAGCTTGGTCAGTTTCTATCCAGGCCTGTGATCTGTTCAGTGGTCTGTTTTAAGGCCAGGCTGTCTTTATCTCTATACCTCTAGAGTATAATTTGGAGGTGTGTATAACGTTAGGACTGCTTTGACTGTTAGTCATTGCTTGTGGTTCCATATGAATCCCCGAATTATTTTTATTGCATCTGTGAAATATGACATTGGAATTTTGATGCATATTGCATTAAATCTATAGATTAATTTTCACACGTCAGTTCTGCCAATTGGAGAGCCTGTCAGATCTTTCTATTGTTTAATATTTTCTTGGATTTCCATTTCAGTGTCTTGAGATTTTCATTGCAGAGGTGTTTCTTCTTTAGGTGTATCCCTAGGAACTTTTTTTTTGTACAGCCCTAGGAACTTTTTAGGTGGGGTTGGGAAGCTATTTGGAATGGGATAGGCCCCCTAACTTCTTCCTTGGTGACTATATTGTTGGCATATATGAAAACTATCTTTTAAAGTATTGATTGTATCCTGCAATTTTTCTGTGTTTATTAGCTCCAGTTTTCTAGTAGCTTCTATAGCAGTTTTAAAGTATAGAATCATGTTATCTGCAAGTAGAGATAGTGTGGCTTCTTGGTATTCCATTTTTAGTCCCTCTATGACCTCCTCTTATTTAATTGCTATAGCTAAGACTATGAGCAATATTTCAAACAAGAGAGGAGAGAGTAAGCGTCCTTGTCTCATTACTGATTTTTGAAGAAATGCTCGCTCTTCATCTCTATTTAATATTGGCTATAGGTTGTATATATGTATCCTTTACTATTTTGAGGTATGTGCCATATGTTTCTAACAGTTCCAGGACTTTTTTTTCTTGTTTTTCAAGACAGGGTTTCTCTGTGTAACAGCTGTAGCTGTCCTGGAGCTCACTCTTTAGACCAGGCTGGCCTCAAACTTGCAGAGATCCTCTTGCCTCTGTGTCCCCAGTACTGGGATTAAAGGCACGTGCCCCTACTGCCCAGCTGTTTTCAGGACTTTTATCAAGAGGGCATGTTCACGGTTGTCAAATGCCTTTTTGGTGTCAGTTGAGTTAGTCATGTGTCTCTGTCCTCAAGTTTGTTTATGTAGTGTATTACACTCATTGATTTGCATATGCTGGACCAAGCTTGCCTTTCTTTGATGAAGCTCACTTGAATATAATATATATTCTTCTCAAGGTGTTTGTGAATTTGGTTTGCAAGTATTTTGCCAAAAAAAAATTTCATCTATACCCACAGTTTCTTTAGTATGTAGTTTTCTTTGTTGTTTCTTTACCTGGTTTTTGAAGTTAGACTTTCTTTGGACCTCCAGCCCCCAGATAATTACACGGAGACTTATTAATTATGAAAGCTCGGCTTTAGCTTAGGCTTGTTCCCAACTTGCTCTTAAAAATATAAACTAACCTGTTTATACTCATCTAACAACATTCTGCCACATGGCTCATTACCTCTCCTCAGTATTGTGTGTCCCACTTCCTCTGTATCTCGCTGGTGAACCTCTGCTTCTCTGATTCCTTCCCAGAGTTCCTATCTCTGTCTGGAAGTCCCGCCTATCCTCTCCTGCTTAGCTATTGGCCATTCAGATCTTTTTAAAACCAATCAGAAGGTGTCTTGGCAGAGACACATCTTCACAGTATACAAAATGATTATCATGCAACAGATTTTGTTATTATATTAATATTGACTTCCTGGAATGAATTTGAAAGTGTTCCTTCACTTTGTATTTTGCGGAACAA